TTTTTAAAAAAAGAAAGTGGAATCACACGATACCCTGGCCGCGGTAACAAATTAGCAATCCCAATCGTACCTTATCGCGAGTTTGGTCGAGCCCTGGTTCGTAGAGGCTCGTTTTCCGAAACAGCGGCTGATAATCTAGCCTGTGGCGAGAAACGGTCGAGACGGCCGAAATACTCATGGCGAGAACGAAAGATGTGATTAGGTATTTACCGTACAACCAACGTACAACCTGATATCGCAGAATATCACGATAGAGATGCGGTCTCTCATTGGTCAATTGCGAATCTGAGTACGATGAAGGAAAAAGTAAATCCTTAATTGAGCAGAAAGATTATGATATTGCGAGTCCGCAAATAACAACATTTAGCGTGTGGTTCAGTGCTTTATTACAAGGTTATTACATCCAGTTTGGATCGAAACATACATTAGCTTATCATTTGCGGAGAAAATAAAACCACTTGTATCTCAATCTTTTATTGACACCTACGAATCTTACGCCATGTCTGATCGAAGCAAAGATATCTCATCCTGCGATTTAACATTCCTGAGTCAAGTTCTTATCCTGATAATGTCTCTCAAGATATAAAACGTACTGGATCCGATAAAATATTTATTTTAGTAAGTTTTGAAGACCATTCAATGACCTTGTTCAGGTAAACATGACATACCAAGAAAACTTGTAGTTTTACATAATTGATGTTCCGTGGCTCTGTGAAAAAAGAGCGCCGAATCTCTATCTGTTTACAACCCTTCCGGATTGTTTTTATTACTTCTTAAATCACGCGGCCTATGAACGAAAAACCATCTTGGTAAAGTTACTGTGGCAAATTTGAGCCTGCGGTTCCTTTTTACATTAACGAGAAAAAAAAAATACGAGAGGCGGAAATCTGAGCTCGAGGAATATGTAAAATTATGAACCCTGAACTGCATTTAGTGAGGGTAGAATACCACTAACAGTAATTTGGGTTTAAGTATCTTTCCATTTACCATCGACAACAAAAGTGTAAACATTTAATTATTAACGCGCGTCTTTCGACCAAATTAAGGGGGCTACCATCTCTGAATTCCCTCGGGCCGGAAGCAAACTGAAATCTGCTAGTAGATTTTCCTAAAATTATTTTATGACTACCCAACTACTTTTTACGAAGATAATCTACATTAAACCGGCGATTCGCATTTTCGTTTTCTTTTTAATCGTCGCCAGCACGATTTTAATTAGGCACACTACAAAAGCGTTTTTAAGTGCATCTTTTTTATCAATTAGCTTTTAAAATCATTCTGCATAAAATGATCTTACAAGACCATCTGTCAGGTGTATGAGTTTCCTGACATGCAATACATTTTTGTTGTGGTGGTATATCAGAACAGGTTTTGTTTTGAGATCTCATATCTCTGTTTTCATGTCAACATTCAATGATATTCACAAGCTGGGCGATAAGCCCGTGTTCTTTAGCTAACAGATGTCGATGATTTCTTAAGAAACGCCGGTTCTAACATGCGAGGTAAACAAATTTTGCAAGACTCCTCGCTGCTATATATAGACTAACTGAGTATACTACCTATTCATTAATTCAAAAGAGGCTGATCGCGTCTGTAGCGTTAAGAGAAGAGGCTTTCAAGTAAAACAGCGTGAAAATCTCTCCATTAAGTTTCACATACACACCCTACCTGTCACATCGCCAGTGGGTTGCGGAGTGTGTGCTAATGATGCATACATGACGTGTTTAGTTAGTCTTCACTTGCTGAGAAATCTTCCAGAACGAAATCCGTAGAAAAACTGGCGAGCTGGGCTGATCACTTCATATCATCGCGCGAGGACGAAAACCTACAGCACTTTAGAAGCATGCTTGTCGTCGTTATGTTATGTCTCATTTTGCCTCAAGCCCCGATCTCAGTTCTTCCTGCCTTAAGCGAGGAGCGGATTCATTTGTTAATTGCGTTCATGCGACCTCACAGTTTCGCTTCTAATGGACATCAGAGCCAGTTACATACATGCTTAGGCCGACAAACCCTTTCAACGTAACAGAGCGATTGGCGCAAAATAAATTGGTTTAGCACTTTTTAATTATTGATGGTGATAAATGGGATGATTATGCCAAATAACTGTCCAACAGGTGCCGGAAGTTACTCTGAGTGCTTACGTCCGGTGTGCACCTTTCAAGGAGTTCTGGGATTTGGTAGCTCGAGTACGTAATTTATCAAGATTGTTTTGAATTTATTCACTTGAATCGGTCGGTTAACATCGGATAACGAGCTGATGATGAATTATACAACTTAGTTATCTGTTACTGAACCAGCGTGTAATTCATGTTGGGAAAATATTGGTCGAGTACCTTTTTCAAGTTTATGGACGGAGCCGCAGGTGACGTCCAAAAGAATAACACCAACATTTCCCAATACGGACCGAACCTACTTAAAGTCTATTAATTTATTATAATGGCTCTTTGAAAACTGTGCTGATAAATTAAGTAATGATCTACATAAGAACTGTAGCATTTTCTATTGTTCTGCGACAATGTGCTTTCTCCACATTGAAACTGTTGTGTTTTCATACGGAGAATGTATCAACCAATGAAAAGCAGGTTTATGAAATAAAATGTATTTAAACTCTATTTTGAAAGGTAGTTTCCTTTGTGTTAAAACATTCAACCAATCAGAACAGTCGTAAACAAAGACAATAAAAGCTTCCAATTTTCCAATGTTCCCCACATAGGATTACTATGGTATTTAGACTCAGAAGAGGTTTAGTTGAAAGGAAGATAGTTGATCAATTACGCATAAATATATATACAGCTACCTGAAGTTTTGCTAGAGTTTGTTGATTGAGCCAATCAGAAGTATGATATAACAATATCAAAGTTGCGCAAAAGTTAGCACCTTTTTGCATTCCTTGCCGCGTGGTACTATTCTTCCTATATAGAGCGTTACTTAATGCGTCCCAATCCATCATGCACGGCAAGCGCGCCGCGCACGGAAAGATAAAAATTTCGCTTTTAAGAACGTTTTCATGAAAGTTACAATAAAATTGTCCTTCAAACATGAAGGACGTTTTGGAATTGCAATTCACCAAAATAATTTCGTAAGCGGTCCAACAGCGTAATATCGCAGGGAGCCAATCAGAATTTACTTTTCATTGCGGGCCAGTTCGCCACTTAAAAATATGACTTTTTAGCATAAATCTAATAGCGGTCTATCGCGGATGCCGTTCTCTGATTGGTTACGCTACTCACTATCTATTCTGTGAAAGATAGTGAGTAGCGTAGCAGTGTGCTCTTGTTAACAAAATGACGGCCGCTTCTTAGCGTTTTCGAAGTGTCTGTGAAGAGGATTTAGATAAAGTTTTGAACGAGTAGTAGATTTATACTAAAACAATTAGATTATTCGCTCTCGATTCCTATGCGCGATAGTTGACTCGGGCTGCGCATTCGGCCTCGTCAACTATCACGCGATAGAAATCTCGAGCTCATAATCTAATTGTTATTAGCATCATTCAACTAGTGGACTAATGCAAATCCTGCATTTTAATTGACTGCGCTACTAAAGGACTATTAGTAATAGTCCTCGAGTAGCAAAATTGGCGCAATCGAGCGTGACGCGTTCTTTCGTTTTATTCCCAAATACAAATTTCTTCAACTTACATTTGTTAACTTTATTATTGCCTTTTCTGTCCGACTAGTTGGGTGATACTAAAACAATTAGACCCTTCGCCCTCAAGGGCCACGGGTCAATAGCCAATTCGGCTTCGCCTAATGGGCTATTGACCCGTAGCCCTTGCGGGCTACGGGTCTAATTGTTAAATAGCAGGGATTTTAAATGGTTTCCCTAAAACATCCTCCTTATCCTTAATAAATCTCGTTCCAGTGGAGAGAGAAAAAGAGGAAAGCAGGCTCGTGTCCAGGCTTCTGCTTTTCTTCTGCTGGTCACAACCCGGGCCTATTCTCTTTGCGGCTCGGATATACTCGGATCGACAAAAAGCCTGGCGAAAAATGTAGCTTAGTAGTTCTTTGCATGGATTGATCTGCATAACTTTAATACGTGTATTTTGATTCGTTCGTTAATCTGCACCTCTTTTGTTCTTTGTGCCAGGGGCATTGTCTGTGTTCTTGTTTGTCTAATAATAAAGAACCTTGTAAATGGTACGCGTCACTCCCTTTCAATCCTTCACATCACTCAGGGTGTGTAGTTGTTATAGACCCTATCACGGCTGCCAATTGAAAATTCTCTCGTAAGCATTTAAATAAGCCCAACTAACCTCGTTTGAGAGTTAACAGTCTTTTAAAATTATCAACTCAAAAACGGAGTTAGTTGGGCTTATTTTAATGCTTGCAAGAGAATTTTTAATTGGCAGCCATTTATGAAATGTCAGACGGCTTCTCGCACGCCTCTCGGGGACTGGGACGAGAAGATGTCGGACATTCCAGACTAGAGAAATTAAAGAAATAAGGATCAATTACCATAGACATTTGGGTTCCTCAGAACATGTTCGTTAAAGAGCCGTCTCGTTAACCAGAAAAGCTGAACAGAAAGTTGCTTGGTGCAACCCCTCTTGAGCGCAACACTCGAAAAATGCTGCTGCGTTATAGTAGAACACGATTGTACTTTTCTGCAAAGCTTGCTACAGCGAGAACGTTGAGACATCTCCATTTTAAGGGATGTTACACTTGGCAATAATTGTGCAACATTTGTTGCAACAAAAGTTGCGGGACAAATTTTTAAATTGCCTGGTTCAACGGCGCTTTAAATCGCGTTTGTACCAAAACCAGCTTTACTTAAGGAGCTCAGTCATGGTATTTTCAGTCAGTTTGGCCGCTTACAAAATTACCTTTGAAGGAGACCTGAAAATAATAGTTTTTTACGGTAGAAAAACACCAAAGAGATAATAATAAACCATAAAGGAACAAGGATGGTTGAGGATGGAGAAGATTGACACAGATAACAAATGACGAACTTGAAAAATTTAGGCTAAACTTTTCAAGATGGCAAACCGTGACGTAGCCGCTTTGTTAAAATAATTCAAAAATCACACTACGATCGTTTTTTTTTTCCTGTTTTTAAGGAAGCTCGTCATTTCAACTCCAAATACAGTTTAAAGCTTCCACAAACACTCACACGATTAGCACTTCAGTCGCTATTACAAGTCGGAATACATCAAGTACTGTATCAAAGATGGCGGAACAGGCAGTTCAGGGAGTCTTTGTACCCTATTGCTGTCAACTCTCTTTCTGATTACGAGGCGGCAAAAATGTTGCAATGACCGCGGCGAGCTTGTCAACCGCACTAGTTTACTCCAGCCGGGACGCAACGCGCGCGAATTCGCGCGGCATAACTCGCGCGTGCTGGGCCTGTTCCCCTCGAACTCTAACAACAATTTAAGTAGCTCTGGTCTCAGTGCTGGCATAGCAAAAGGGTCTCTAAACACTACGCAAACTCCTTCGTGAAGCTGATCGACGTTTGCTCCGCGCTTGAGTAGAAGTTTGATGTGTTCTAATTGCGTTTCGAACGAATTGTAACTGTGTCCGTAAGAGAATCTCGTCACAGCTATGCTAAGCGCTGTGTTTTTTCCTCGGTCTGTGAAGTTCGGATCAGCGCCAAAGTCCAGCAGGATCTTGCTGCAGTCGCACGACGAATTCTGCGCGGCGAGAATCAACGGCGACGTGTACGTGGCTCCGTTCACATCCGCTCCGCCCTCCGTCAAGATCTTCACGCAATCAACGCTGTCGCCTTCCACCGCAACCATCAGCGGTGTCTTGGGTAGCACGTCCACATCTTCATATACGTGGTTGGGATTTGCCCCCCAGTCTAACAGTAGCTTGGTGCACTCTGCGTGTCCTTGGGAAGCTAGGCATATCGGGGTCATGTTTCCACTCATTGTTGCGGCATCCACCTCAACACCTTCAGATAGAAGCAGCTCCATGCATCTGTAGTGACCTTCCTGGGCGCTCAGGTGCAGTGGAGTGATTTTTTCGGGGTTGGTCTCTGCGCGTGCGTTAGCTCCGGCGTCTAAAAGAATCTCAATACTCTCGTAGTGCCCGCGTTCTGCGGCAGCGTGCAGTGGTGTTGCCCCATCGATGACGCGTGCTTCCGGGTCTGCCCCTAGAAAAAAAACAGAAGCAAAACCTGAATTTTCTCTTTAAGCCATAAAATCTTGACATCTTATCACTCCAAAAAAGTTTCACGCATGCCAACATGAAAAATACCTGGAAACAACAGATCATTATCAGAATATAAATTTGACCCAGTCCCCAACAAACTGCCATCTCTGACAATTCATATTTGGAATAACACACAAAAAGATTGTTAAATCAAAAATTACATCTTGGCTAATAACCTTTGCACTGTTTTCTCTACGAAATTTCCCTGGACAAACTATTTCAAAGAATGTATTTTCTCTTTGCATTAAATTAATCTCTTGCAAATGTTCAGTAACATTAGGGTGGTATTTAGAACTTAGGCTCTCGAATGGGAAAGAAAAACCTTGATCTTGCGTAATCTGAACACTGAAGTCGTGTTCCATAGGGATCGACTGTCTCTGGTTAGTTGGGTTGGTTAAGTTTTTTCGTGTGCAATAATTTGGGGTAAAACTGTTGTCAGCTAGTTTGGTTGATCAATTTTTTCAACTGGCCTCAAACCAGGTTAGAATGGTTGAAAAAGCACTTGCACGATTATGTTGCATCAAGGAGTATTTCCAGGAGTTAGCGCAATTCAACGGAAAATGGTTGGAAAAGTGTTCGATTGAGATATGTCAAACACCTCAACCCAAACATGTTGCAGTTGAAACGAACCTAGAACACGACCTAATTGTTAGAGGAAGATTGTGTGAAAACTGATCAGCCTAAAGAGCATCTGCCATGTGCAAGTATAAAACAATAAATACTTACTAGCACCCAAAAGAATATTAATACAACTTGTCAAGCCCTCCTGGGCAGCAATGAACAAAGGTGAGGCATTGTCCACAGTCAATAAGTTTATATCGGCTCCGTTTTTCAACAATAATTTCAAGCAATAGTCTTTTCCATATTGTGTAGCAGTAAATATAGGTGTGGCCCCATCAGTGTTCTGTATGTTTATATTTGCACCAGAGGAAAGAAGTAGTTCTATCAAGTCTTCACGGCCAGCATATGCTGCTTCATGTAATGCACTCCAGCCACCTACATCCTGACTGTTTACATCCAAACCACAGGATGTCAAGAAAATCTATAAAACGTTTGTAAAAAAAATAAACAAATTAACACTCCTGCTATATAGACATCTCTAGTTTGTACTTATCAGAGCAGATTTCTCTGGAAGATCTGACAAGAAGCAAAACTCACCATCTACTTACTCTATGCTGAGATAACACAAAGTGTTCTGTCTTCAATTACAGACAACAATCAAAGACTTAACTGATTTATTCATTGATTACTCAATGATTCCTCTGATTACTGATTAGTTTAGTCTCATTATAGATGTGTTTATTTGCTATTATGATCTTTCAATGTGATTTGAAAATATCATTCAGTCACAATAATAACAGTTCCACAGCCCTGCTGAAACATTTGCCTGGATCCACTGAAATCCACCTCTTAGGACTGGAATGGAATGCTAGTCCATTGCAGGGTTACCCCCAGCATTAAATTTGCCGATACCCATTTATACACATGGGTGGAGAGAGGTACTGTGAAAGTAAAGTGTCTCGCCCAAGAACACAACACAGTGTCCCCGGCCAGGGCTCGAACCTGGACCGCTCGATCCAGAGACAAGCGCACTAACCATGAGGCCACTGTGCCTCCAATTATTGTATAGTAGAGTTAAGTTATTTGTAATTGTTATGTTGTAGTATCTGCATGTCAAAAATTAATTTAAAAAGCACTGAATCACACAAAAAACAAACCTGAAAACATTCTAAATTGCCTCCTTTGACAGCAGCTACAAGCAAGCTCACTTCCTCGTCATTCATTATATTCACATCAGCTCCAAAGTCCATGAGCGCTTTCACACACTCAGCATGACCACTCACAGCTGCCAAGAAAAGAGCAGTTTCGCCACTGTAAGCTTTTGAATTAATGATGTCCTCACTTTTGTGTTCTAACAAGCTTCTTAGACAACCAGTTTGTCCAGCGGCAGCTGCCTCGTGAAGAGGGAACCAGCCACGGTTGTCAGATACATCACAGGGAGATCCTGAGAAAGATAGTGGATATTTTTCAGTAGTAAGAATAAAATCTAAAATCATTCTCTAGGTAGAAGTATATAAAAAGCACAAGCTTTCAACTGCCTTAGCTACAGTTTTTGCCCTTTGAAGACTGTAGTTAAGGCAGTCAAAGCTGGTTTTTTTTTTATATCCTTCTAGCCTGAGAACGACTTTAAATTTTATTATGATTCCTTTTGGCAATGGACCTTCTATATTTTCAATTTTATTATTGTTGCATTAGTTCTAAAACAAAGGTCTCCAGTCTCTCCTGCAATAAGAACCATAGAAGAGTTATATGAACGAGAAGTTGACAAAAGCAAGAGTGCTATCATAACCTTGCAGTATTGACTGAAATGTTCTAATTAGGAATAAAGAGTGTTGTACTTGTTTATATAGTTACACTAAGTCTATTCATTTGATAAGTTGTCATGACACAGTTGATTATTCTTTGAAAGCATGCATAATACCTG